TAAGTTCAAGGCCAGCCTGGGTGCAGAGTTTAAAGCCAGCTTGAATTACAGAGCAAGGCCCTTTCTCAAAAAAAAAAAAAAATAAACAATCTCAAATTTGCTTTACTATTTAATTTTTAATGTTTCTTGAGAAAAATTCACCTGTTAGGATATATTAACTTATGTCATTACATACATATATACATACCATTTTTTTTTGGTGTGTGTGTGTGTGTTTTAGTACAGGGTTTACAGGGTCTCACTACACAGATCAGACTCGTAGTGATCCTCCTGTTTTCAGCCTTCTAAGCGCTGAGGTTACAGGCGTGCACCACCACAGCCAGTCTTACATACTGTTTTTTATTTGTTGTAATCTAGCATGGTGAAAGATTTTTCCATAGTTCCCCACCCTCCTTCTCTCCTTCCCTTTTCTCCCCCTTCTCTCTCTGAGTCTCTCCTTTCCTCTGTCCCTCCCTTCTTTTCCTTTCTTTCCTTCTCCCCACTCTTTCATTCTTTCTTTTGAGATTTTCATATTTTAAGGCTATATTATTGAATGAACACAATACTAAAACTTCAAAATCTTTTATAATTACATAATGACTCCACCTCTAGCCGTGCCCTCTGTCTTAAATTACTTTTACACAACAATAATCACCTAGCCGCCCAACTTTAGCTTGATTTTTCCCAACATATCTTTTCTGTACTTTTAGTTTTTAGGTATGTCACTTCTAAATAGTATATAAATATGTCAAACACCTCAAACTTGACAATCCCTCTATTTTTGTGAGAAGTTCAGTCTGCATTTGTTACGGCAGTGGCCCCGGCCTGCGCAGCCCCTGCTGAGCAGCTGTTTCCGGCAGTTCCTAGGCAGGATGTACCGAGAACGCAGCACCCTGAGCTCAGGAAGAACAGTCTGGGCTTCGTCCTCTTTTCTTCCAGGTGAGGGTGCCTGCGAGGCTTCAGCTCAGCGAGCTTCGCGGCCCTTGAGGTGCAGAACCCCGAGGGAAGTAGCTCCGGGTCCCTCAGCTGCCGCGTGAAGGGGGCGACGCGCAGGTGTGATCCTGCAGCGTCGGGCAGCTCCCCTGCACCTCGGGGCACTGGCTGGCCATGGTGCCAGGCTTCCGGGTATCTGTCTATCTGTGAGCAAGAGTGTGCTTCCTTGACTCGCGCCGGGGCTCTGTCTCACGAAACCTGGCAGCCAGCAGTCTTGGCAGAGCTGGGAAGGAGCTGGGACTCTCCCGTGGTGAACCGCGCACTGTCCTCTCCTCCCAGGAACTGGTTCTGCTGCGTGGACTGTGCTTCCCAGTCACTCGTGTCCTTTCTCATGTCTACTTTTCGTTTCTCTGTGCCTTGGCTTTTCTGTGCTAGTTTTTCATTTCTTACTTTTTGACAATGGAAGTTCTCTTTGTTTTCATGCCTTCCTCTTAAGGATTTAGATGTTAGATGTATAAGTGCATCCTTAGCCTTTTAGTATGTTTAACACTGTCCAGTGTGCTTAACACAATCTAAATTTGTTCGAAATTCGTCCCTGCATCTAAGCAAATCTAAGGGCCTCAGAGCACTTGAACTCAATCCATTAGTCAATTCATTTCACGCCATTGTTGTCCAGTCTTTTAGGAAGTATTTTAGGAAAACACGGAAGTGGATATTATGATTTTATATAGAATATGTTTGCTTCAGTTGGCCTGCATAGTCCCTGTTTCTTTGCTCAGCTTTCTTATTCTTGTCATATCTTCCTCTAAGGTCATTTTCCTTTATTTCAAGAATATTTCTTAGAAGCTTTTTAGGGAAGAACTGTTTGTAAATTCTGTTTTTGTTTCCCCAAAATATTCTTATTCTGCCTCCATTCTTAAAAATTGCTTTTGCTAGATTTAGAACTGTACATTGACACTTTCCATTTAAAAAATTTCCACTGATACTGTTAAGCTGTTTGTTATAATTTCATAATTTTAGGTAACGTTATGGGGGGGCGGTTCTTTGAGTTTCTTCATGTGCTTCAGTACAACTTCTTTGTTTTGCTAGCGGGACTTGGACTCAGGACCTCGCTCTTGTCAGGCAGGTGCTGTGCCCCTGGACTCTATCACCAGTCCTCAGCGCAACTTTTAAGTTCATTTTTTCACCTGCTGGCATACATTATGCTTTCTGGCCTTTGGGATTCCAGTCTCGCACTGAGTTTAGAAAGCCCTTGGCTATTATCTCTTTAAAATTTGCCTCTCTGCCATTCTTTCCTCCAGAAAGTCCAGTTCTTGTCCTGCTAGGCATTTTAAAATTTTTGTATCTACTATGTTGTTTAACTTTGCTATGACATTCTCTATCAATTTGCCCCCCGCTTTTTTTTTTGCCTCTTGAGTACTTGATTCAGGTCTGTTTAGAGTTCACTAATTTCTTTCAGTGTGCTGTTAAACCCACCACTTCCAACAGCTTTTCATTTCTGAAGTTTCTCCGTTTCTTTGTGGCTGGGCCTTCCTAGTATCTTACGGTTTTGTTTTTTGTTTTGTGTATTTAGTACAGGGTCTATAGGCAGGGTCTACAGGGTCTCACTATCCAGATCGGACTCACAGTGATCTTCCTGTTTTCAGCCTCCCAAGTGCTGAAAATTATAGGCGCGTGCCACCACGCCCAGTCTCAATTGTGCCTCAGTGTGCCCCAGGGGCAGGGCCAGCCCAGCATGCTGGGGGTTGAACCCCTGTCCCTGCATCTGCCTCAGCAGGTGCTTTAATCCACTGAGCTATCTGATTGACCTTTATTATGTTTTGAGACTTTATTTTTTTTTTTAATTCTTTAGATTTTTTAACATGCCATTATCCTGTGTTCTATTCTTTTAGGTCCAAGGTAGTTACTGCTGATTCTCAGCTATGATTTATTAATTGAGGGCATAAAGCTCCTATTCAGCTGGGATGAACTGAGGTTATTTTCCACTAGAAGGGACTTGGATTTACTTCTGCCAGGAGCCAAGGAGAGCTGTTTGTTTTCTGCTGTGTGCCCATCTATTTTCTGTCCTGCTGACTTCCCCTACCCCTGAGAGTGAAGCAGTACCTTAAAAAGTATGTCTTTTGTGTAAAACCCAGTCATTTTGTATCAGGAAGACCCTTTGGGAAGTGGAAGCCCTAACGAATTTTGTGGTAGAGAAAGTTTTCCCTGTTGCCTAAAATTATATTTTTAAGGATAGGATGTGCATAGGATGGGAATTATAGAAATAAGCAAGGGTTCTGGCCCAGTAAGTGAAAGCGACACTCAGTAAACAGGGGCTGACTGCGCTGTCCACGGGCAGTTGGCAGCGGCGACATTCTGGTTGCTTGGCTCATCCCTGGTTCCATTTATGACTGTTCCCTTCCAAACAGAAGAGGACCAAACATGAGGCCAAAGGATTTTTGAGTAACTATTAGAGATTGAACTGAGCCAAAAACAACCCCAAAAACCTCTCTGGGTTTTTATAGAAATCTGGGGGGTAAATGGAATTTCACTGAACAAAATCCACTTGCATTCTTCCTAGGAAAGACAATTAGACAAAAAATTATAACTGACTTTTAAAAACTCCTGGTATATCTTTTCTTATCAGGTGCGTCATCGTTTCCTCCAACAATTTACCCTTCTCATTCCTTTCCAGTCTTGAAGCCCAGCCTCTGCCTTCACTGTCATTCTCAGCAGACGGTACTATTCTCCATGAAAGATACAGAAGGGGCTGGCCACACTGCGTCATCAGCGATAAAGCCCTCACTGGTACCTCTCCTTTCATCTCCAAACTTCTCGCCTAAGTTTTAATGGATGAGCTCTCCCTACAGTGCGTGAGCCTCTTGCTCTTGACCTCAGCTTCTCCTGTTCCCTCTAGGATGCTGGTTCATGCCCTTCCTTCGTCTGCTGGGGTTTGGTTATGACCTGTTCCCCCAGAGCTCTGTGTTGAGGAGCTGGCTGTTGCTGGGACTCTCAGAAAGCGATTGGATCGCAAGAGCTCTGACTTCATCTGCAGATGAATCTGTTGATGAGAGCAGAATGTGAAGCATCATGGGAGGTTATGGAGTAGTCGATGGGGTCTGCTCGACGGGAGTGGATCCTGGCGGCGTGATTCTGGGACAGCATCCAGTCCTGTCCCCATGCTCTTGGTTTTCTTTCCTGTCAGCCTCCTGGTTGTCATGAGCTGTGCAACTGTCCTCTGCCAGGCCTTCTTCCATGATGCTTCTGCTTCACCGTAGACACAAAAGAAACAGAGCCCATGAACCAGGGACTGGCACTACTGCAGCTGCAAGTGGTAGAAACCTTTCCTCCTCTATGTTGATTTTCTTAGGGTTTTTGTCACAGGGATGAAAAGCTGACTAACACAGTCTTCTTCTGTATCATGCCCTCATCCACTACTATTACTCGGGTTTGTCTCCAGAAACACATTCACACCAGAGCCAGGAAAGCACAGTTGACCTTCTTTGGCTCTCCCACCCACTTCCAGTTACTGCTTTTCTGTTCTTCTCTACTTAGCCTGGTCTCAAGAGCTGCCCAGAATTCTCCTCTCCATCTCTTCTTACTCCTCTCCAATCTGGACTTTATCCCCAACACTACGCTGACTTTCTCACCACTAAGTTTACATGTGGCCAGGGGTACTCTACACTTACCAGCCTTTACTCTCCTTCTGTATTACTAGTTTCATGCAATCATAGTCAATATACACACATACACATGAAACATTAGCCTTTATCAGCTATCAGATAAAGAATACCTGAAGTAGTCAATTTATAAGGAGGAAAGGTTTATTTTGGCTCAGAGTTTGAGTTGTTTTAGTCCATGGTTAGTTAAGTCTGTTGGTTTGGGGCCCATGTCAAGAAAGAGTAAATCTGTATGCCTTATGGGAGCTGGGATGGGGGGAAGGGGGAGAGAGTGGGAGAGAAAGACAGAGACAGAGAGAGACAGAGACAGAGACAGAGAGACAGAGACAGACAGAGATAGACAGAGACAGACAGAGAGAGACAGCGAGAGACAGTGAGGGAGACAGAGAGACAGACAGAGACACAGAGACAGAGAGAAACAGAGACAGAGAGAAACAGACAGAGACAGAAAGAGTCAGTTCACTAGGCTGATTAATAATGTTTACTTGAATATGTAAATATGCATTTATCTTAAAATCAGTTTCATTATTTGGTGTATTATTATTACTATTACTTATGTTAATATAAATAACCTTCACTTGCTACCTATTTTTCAATTAAGACCATTTGATTAAAAAATCATATTCACAGGTAGGTTGTATTGTTTCTGAATTTTATTGAATTTAATTTAACAGTGATTTTCAATATATTTTCTTACATTGAGGGTCAGTGCTGGTCTGATGAGACTGAGGATTTCTGCCCTGCTGGTGCCAATTTCCTCTTGGTCCAGAGGCCAGGAAGCGATCCAGCCACAAAGCGCTGCCCTTCCCAGGGGCAGCTCCACTGCTTCTGAAAACATCCAGCTTTCCAAGCAGCTGGCTGGTAATTCCTAATGAGTTATTTTGGTCATTCCCGAGTTCTTACATGGGCTGAGCAGGGGTATTTTCCATCGATTTTATTATTGTTTGTGAGCTTCATGCTTCTAGCATTAAGTGTGAGAGGACAGAGGAGAAGGAAAGCAAATCCCAAACCCAAGACTTTTCTTACTCTGTTATTTCCTGGCCATGGGTCTTTCTATGGAAAGCTCTTACAAGGGATCTACAGCGGCGATGGCATTTTTAGGTTATTGTTCTCTAGAAATAGTTTTTAGCCACTAGACTGCCATAAGTTTGCTTATTTTCCTGCATCCAACTAAAGAGCATCTGATGCCTCTTTTGAAAGCTTGGCTGCAGTGACAGGGAAGTGGTCTCCGGATGGACATGGCTGTACCCCAGGGGCGCTGTCCATGTGGCACACAGTGCAAGGCTTTGCGCCTGGGGTCAGGGTCCTTTTCACTTTGCCTTCATGAGAACAGCTCAATGCACAAGAATATTGGGCCAGGGGCACCTGCGGGATGGGGGCTTGGGGAAGGGGCCAAGACCCGTGTGTGTGTGTGTGCGTGCACGTGCTGGCTTGTGTGCCACAGACTACGCACAGCAGACGCAAAGGAGCCAACCAAGTGCTGGTTCCTCAGCGTGTCCAAGGTCATCAGTAGTGTCAGTCAGGAGCTTGTCAGAGTTGAGCAGTCTAAGGCCTCCTCCCAGACCCGTGCATCAGAGCACGCATACGAGCCACGCTGTCACGTGACTCAGAGGCACGTATGGTGTGAAGAGCACCATTGTCCTGCCTGCTCAGCCTCAGCCTTCAGGGCACTCCGGGCGCCTCTGTGCTGCCTCACTGGCTGGGCTCCTGTCATCTCCAGCTCGGACTGAGTCTCCTGACCCCGCCCCTTTCCCCCACTGGCCTGTCACTGTAGTCTGCATGCCTGCCATTCCTTAGTGGCTGGACATCACAGAGATCGTTGCCTAACACTGCATGCTACTGCACCGAGAGCTCGCTCCATCAGGAGGCACGGAACCCTCGGGCACATGGTGCCTGCGCCATAAATAAAAGCCTGAAATTTATGGCAGGTTATGTGTTTATTTTTGCTGCTTCTTGGACAAGTTCTACAAGGTAGGAATAAAACACATGGATTCTTTCAACGGCGTAGGGTTTTACAAGCCAACTTCCGACTGTGGCATTTAGGATCCCAGAGTACGTGGGTTGAGGCACTTTTGTACCCAGAGGCAGCTAGACTTCGCCAGGCTGTAGGGGGTGACTCTCTGTCTTGAGGATGGTGTTGCAGCTGCCCGGTGAGGTAGGGAGGAACAGCAGGAGACACAGGGTTAAGGCCAGGTGCAGGGAGCACCTGCCTTTGTCTATTGGCCAGTGACAGGTCCTCTGCTCTACCTGCTCCCTCCTGCCTGGAATCACTGCTGCCCTGATGAACGCTTCAGCAGGGGGTGGATGGGAAGGAAGTACCCTGGCCTTCACTCTGTGTTGGCCTCTTTGGTATAAGGAACCATCCCTGAGCAGGGAAGGCTAGAGAAGGTGGCAGCCAACACCCACTGGGGGTGGGATCTCTCTGTGTGTGGGGGGTATATCTGTTCCTTCCATCAGCAGGGAATCCATGTGCCCTCATTATGCCAGGCAAATGCTGGAGTTATCTGCCTCCCTTTTTGCCTTTCAGTAAGTTTCTCATAGCCCATGGCTGGTGCTCCCAACAGGGCTAATTTATGCCTCACGATAAGCCCTGCCCCCAGCTGGGAGTTGCAGCTGGAAACACCTACAAAGTGAGGGCCTTTTCCTGTCAGTCCTGGGCCTAATGAGGGGCTCTGCACCAGGCTTCCTCCTTCCTCGGAAGGGGCCCATTGTTCTCAGGAGACACAAGTGCATGGAGCACTCCTGGGGCCGGCACGGCACTGCCTTTTCCCCACTCTGCCTGGCCTTTGCCAGCTCAGTGTCTCGTTCTATCAGAGGACACCTCCTGACCCCCGAAAAGTCCCCCCGAGACCTGTGCATTCACAGATGAATTCTTGGTCGTGGATCACCCTGGTCCTGTGGGGGTCAGGTCTTGAGTGGAATATTGCTGCTTATCCACATGCAACATGAATCAGTGACGGGTGTCCTGCGACTGAGGACGGAGTGCTGTGGCCCTGGCTGTGGTCTGCGTTCTTGTGCTTTGGAGCAGCAGTGTTTTCCACTCATGCCTTTGGCAGAAAAGGCCCTCCCAGCTGTTTGGAAACGTAACGAGGCAGTCTCCTCCTTCATTGCTCCTTATTCAGGATCCCCATTGGTGGCCTGCAACCTTGACTACTACTGGGCCCTGAATGTAGGTGCTCTAGTTTTCCTAAACATACAGACCTATGATAAGGGTTAATTAATAGATTAGACACAGAACAAGACTAGTGACTAGTAAACGACGACAGTTGTAGCAATATATGATAATAAAATATGTGGACATTGTGTCTCTCTTCAAAGGGTCAGGACAAATAGTGATGTTTTCAAGACTACAGTTGATTTTGGGTAACTGAAACTGAGGAAGACAAAACTGTGGCTAAGGGGGAGACTGATGTACCCCTGGGGAGAAGCTTGGAGTCCGTGTTGTTTGCTGGGTGGTCAGAGGCAGCAGAGGACAGCTGAAGGGCTCCCTGTTACCCTGAGATCTATCCTCAGGACTGGCCTAGTAAAGACAGTCCTCAGCCCCTCAAGGCCAAGTAAGGGTGCAGCTGTGCACCTGGGGCTTATGGTGAAGGCACCACTCCCCACCTTCTGGGGAGACATCCAGAATAACAGGGAAAAGGTGAGAAGGCACAGCGACTTAAGCATTTCTCACCGCCAACTCAATGGCAGAAGAGCAATTACACTTGTTCTCAAGCAGGCTCATTAGCGGACCCAGGGAGGAGGTGACTTCACACCCGCACAGGAGGATCCATTTGCAGGCTTCGTGGTGATTCCTGACTTTGGGGACGGGGGACAAAATTCTCCCCAGCTCAGAAAGGAAGATGGGGTGAACCAGCTTCAGTCCCTAACTCCCATCTGGAAATAAAACTACCTGGAAAGAGGCCGCCCTTCAGTGGCCCCTGGCACAGACTCCAGGCTCACCCCTATATCACTCTCCACTGGGCCTCCTGTGGCTGCCCAGGGGACTGGAAGAACCAGCTCCCCACCCCCTGGGAACTAGCGTCAATTCAGTCCGAGCGGCCTGGGTGGGCAGCAGCAGAGCTGTCAGCTTCCCTGCCACTTAGTCGCAACCTGTGGGCACTGTGAGCCTTGGGAAAGCGGCACAAGGGATGCGGAGGAGGTGACGAAGGACCAGGTCCAGCAGCCCGTTCTGTGCAAAAGTGAGTCGCTATCTCTGCAAAAGCCACAGCAGCGCGCTCCCTGCCCAGCATCTGGCACTTGCTTTTAAATCAACAAGTTGAAATCTCAGGCACCCAACTTTTAGCTAAGTAAGTATAACCACAAGTTCTGTTTTATATATATATATATATATATATATATATATATATATATGTATGAAACATATGTACATACATTGCATCCATGTGTGCATCATTCTGGATATTACTGGGCATATTTTCATATGAGGAAGTCCAGCCTTGAACAACCTGTGTGCACACTGACCCTGCTCTGCACCATCCAGAGAAGAATACCGACCATGACTCAGGGCTAAGCCCTCTGCACCTGGTTTGGGGCGCTGGGCACAGGTGCCTTACACGTGGCTCGTTTTTTCTGCTAGGACGGAGTCCACTGGTAGCATGAACTTGACCCCACCATCTTTCTCCCAGCCTCTTCGGATCTTGGAGAGTCTGCGGCTGAAGCAGGGCAGCAGGAACAGGCCCTTGGCCAGGATGACAAGGCAGGGCACCAGCAGTGTGAGGGTGAAGGTGGGTGGCAGGTAGAACTTGTAGCGGCTCTCCTCGAAGGCACGGGTCCAGCCATATGTGAGCGTGTGCAGCGTGCTCAGCACCAGGGCCACAAAGCCCAGTGTGGACTGTGGAGGAAAGAAAAGGCCAGAGTGAGGCTGGGCAAGGTCAGACAGTGGCTCCTGCTGCCTGGGTGAGGGAGACAGGAGAGGCTCAGCTTCGTACCCCAGCCCTAGCGTTCTGTTGTGCAAGATCTTACAACTGCTTGTGGGACTCTCAGAGCCTCACAATCCCTGGCAGAAAAATGGGAATCGTGTTTCTATACTGATGGTGCACAAGGACCTAGTCTTGCACATTAAAGAGGCCCGCTTTTTTCCCAGCAGCTCTGGTGGCTGTTGGATGAATTTAGATGGGATTTTGCTCAAAGAGTTCAAAGGCATGTTACTAACTTTACAGAGACTTTCATGTATCAGCGATCCATGGCATACCCAAATCACAACTTCACAGGCACCAGGTGGCCTGGGAAAGCAAAGGGGGGAGCAGAAAAGGACACTGACTTTAAGCTGGCATGAAGAGAAAGTACAAAGTAAGGAACTCAGGTGGCATGCAGACCTAGCCCCAGCAGCTGAGTGGCTCCAAGACTGGGGAGCCTGGCACCACACAGAAGCCTACCACACTTGGGCCTGGTGGACACTCTTGGCTTATAACACTGAGTTATGTTCGCCCAGGTGGGTGCCCATCCTCCTCCCGCGCCCCCCGCCCCAGGCCAGCCTTCCGCCTGGAAAGGGATGCAGGACTGTGGGGCAAAGGAACACTAGCGGCTCTGAGTGGGAAGGCCTGGGCCTCCTCACACCTGAAGCATAGGTGGCTTTCCTAAGCCACTGCCCAAGCAGAACATTTCCTCCATCATTGCTGCAAACAGGTCTTTGCTACCTGTGCTGCGAAATACCCTGGAAGGGCTGCTCAGGCATCTCTGGCCTCTGTTACCTGTGAGCAGCCCCATGGACCACAAAGGGGAGAGGCAGACGCCATCACTGATGCTAGTGCTGACTGGCTTGACCCTAGTGATCCACCTGACCAGCCTTCCAACAGCCAGCTTTGGAGAGCACAGGGCAGAGCACAGGGCGCTCAGTGGGCATCTGGGCTGCGAGGGCGGGGAGGAATGCTCTGGCAGCATCAATTATATTCTGTTTGTTTTGGGTTCAATCACGTTCTGTAAGCACTGAAGTTACTGAAGGTTTGGGGAGAGAGAGACCTGTGCATATGGCATCGGGAATGAAAATAACACTGACCCGTCACACAGTGGACACATCCACATTTTCTTCAAGGAAATGTTGCAAAGGTTTACTTTAAATGTTGCAAGTCGATTCCTTGGCGTGCTCTTCATAGCCTGGCTTGGAGCTTTCCAGAAAGGATACACTTGGGTCATTTACGTTCTCAGCATAACCCCAGAGCCCAGCTGAGAGAGGCTGTCTGTCTGTGCTGCCCTCTGCCACCTTTCTACGTGGGACTGGGTGGCTAGGAACATAGCTCAGTGGCAGAGCATCTGCTTAGCATGTGCAAGGCTCTGGGATCAATCCCCACCCCTGCGCACTACGTAAGTGAAAATGGAGGAGTGAGTGGAGCTGACTCTGCATCGTTGGGTTCAAGCACTTGCTGGAAAGGGGCGAGCGTCCTGTGGTACCTGCTCCCGTGCAAACACCAGGACTGTGAACACCAGCCAGAAGAACTGCTCATGATGCCTGTTAGACGTAACAGGAAGCATTTTCTAACGGTTAGACACTACAGTTTCGCAGACAGCCTTACAGACACAGTTTTGCTCCAAATAAAATACCCATTGAAACGAGCTCTCCCTCCGAGTCTCTGTCTTGCTCGGCCATCTCTGATTGTTCTTGCCTTGTGTCCATTTCAGCGATCCCATTGCACCCCTAATGGCTTTCTTAGCGTGGCCATTTGGAAAACTGTGGTTGTCTTTGTGCTATTCCCTACAATTAATTTATATGGCACTTGAATGCTATCTGCCCACATGGAAGCTTCCTAGACCGAAAGTCACATGGAGCCAAACCCTTGTCACTCTCAGAAGTGTTCCTCAAAAATTCCAAATCTGAGCCAGGTATGGTGGCACACATCTGTCCTCCCAGCACTCTGGGAGGCTGAGGCAGGAGCCCACACTGGGCAAGTGACTTGGGGAGATACTGTTTCAAAATAAAAGTGAAAAATCAAAAGAGGACTGGGGATGTAGCTCAGTTCAAAGGCCTTTGGTTCAAGCGCAGTACTGTAAATAATACAAAACAAAACAAAACAAAACAAACCTGCAACTTCTAAGCCACATCAATTTTTCCAAATTCTAATTTCTCAGGATATGGCAGAGTGTTTGCTTTAAAGAGGTGCTGGCCATGAAGAACAAGTCTTGAACTGCCAACTGGCATTTTCCAGCCAGGCATCCAGCCCCGGCTGGGAGTCCTTCTCCTCGTAGAGTTCCGAAGGTGCCGAGCTGGCCACACAGTGTCCTTAATCCCTGAGAATTGCTCAGTCTGAGGCTGGTTTCAAACCTTAGCTACATGGAAAATTATGTGGGGAGCTTGAGGAAAATACGGTTGCCCAACACCCTGCCTGGAAATTCAGATTAAATCAGCTCAGGGTGGGGCTCTGGCATCTGTTGTTTTTCAGAGTTCAGCAGATGATGCTAATGAACAGCCAGGACTAAACCACTAATTTTGGAAAGTCTTATCCCCCACCCTTCTAGCTTGAGGTTGAGAAGTCCACACAGGCCTCTGTGCCCAGGCTGTTTGGTTAGGGAGGATCGACACCTGTCTGATTTTTAGACAAACACCCACTGAAGACCTTCTGGTTCCCACATGCTGTGTCATGGGCTTTCCTAGATGGCCAGCAATGGGAACCCACCCACGTCTAGGATGGCAGCCCTACTGAGGCCCTAACATTGTCCTTAGGGACATGCCCAAGGACATGGGTTGCTGTGCTCCGGTGTGACCCACGCGGGCCACCATTCTCAGCCTCATTTAGAGTGATGGTTGGACATATGGGGTCCTACACTGGGAAGACACGCATGCACACTGCCCTGGGGCCAACCAGGAGCACTCAGGTCCTCCTGCTCATACATTTGTATCCTTTGCCTTCTAAAACATTCAGGTATGGAAAGTAGAAGCCCCAGCCTCCAGCTGATGGTCCACAGCAAGGCCACACAGCGAAAGACCAGCCAACAAGAAAAGCCCCTTGACTTCTCGATCCTGGTGGGAAGCCTCGATGATTCCACAATCCGTTTCCCTAACACTCTCTCTCCTTGGGAACAATTTAAAAATCCCAGTATTGCCAAAGGGAACCAGAAAGAAGAGGAGCGATTGTCATGGGGCAATTAATAACCCCCTCAAACGAGGGCCATTTTTATTATACAGAAGCTTGTTAGCAAAAAAGAAACAGCCAGGTCGTGGGTGGCTCCTGCTGGTGCTCAATTATAATGGTGTGAAGGGGCTTCGACAATCACTCAGCAAGCTGGGGTCAGGCTGTTCTGTCATTATCTCAGGCAAGAGGCTGGAGTGAAGAAGGTCACTGAATATTCTTCCACCTCTGGGACAGAATTTAGGCGCTAAGAGCTGAATCTCAGCTTTCTGTGCAGCCCAGCTCCTCCCAGATTTTGCAATCTAATGATGTTTAACTGGATGAATTGGGAGCATTTAGCATAGCCATAGCCAAACAACAAGAACAACAAATATAAAACAACAACAACAAAACCCCACAAACTAAAACTTAAACTTTGAAACCAGCCTTGGACACAGAAGGATACGTGTAAGCATAAGTCACCTTTCTGTGGAAGTGACACACAGCAAACAAAGTATTACAGATCCAGGGTTCATTCCAACCACAGTGTCTAGGCCCTGTGGCAGTGTGGCCACGTGTGGTGGGGGAGGGGAAGGAGGGGTCAGGTAGCTCCTCCCTGGCCAAGCTGGCCTGACGGGAGGTTGTATGTTCCCTCAGAAATCATAGGGCTGGGGTGCAGCTCTGTGGTAGAGCACTTGTCTAGCCTCAGGGAGGCTGTGGCTTCAATCCCCAGTACCACAAAGGGAATAAAAAATAGTCATTCCCAGGTTCATGGGTGCTGTGTTTTACCTCCTTTCATTGACTACTCGAGTGAACACAGGCAGAGGCAGGAAGCAGTAGTCCTGAGAGGCTGAGGAACAAATGAAAGGGTGCAGTGCCCATAAATGAGATTGAGGGTCTGACCCAGCTCCACAGCGCTGCCTCCAGTGTGCCACAGAAGAGCACCACGCAAGGCAGTGAGTGCCTCTGGGGTCACCCTGAGTCCTAGAGCCACCTCCCAACATGAGTGCACGGGTGGAGGCAGGCCAGGGCATCTCTGTCCTTCCAGGAGTGCTCTGTGGCTTCCGACCTTGCTGAGGGAGGCTCACGATAGCACCAATCCACAGCCAGCTCTACCACGTGTGTACGCTGAACTACTCGATCAACGGAACTGAACACGTCTATCTGTGCATCATGCAAAGCACTTAGATGTTTTCTTTGCTGTTGTTTTTCATATATATGAAAAACACTAATTTTTTTAATTAAA